GACGTCCTTGGTGTCAGGTACGTTTGGTCAGCCTGGTGTTTCGGAAGCGAAGTGTTGGAGTGGCGAGCGAGGTGTCTTGAGTTCGGTTTGGGGAGTGTTCCGAGCTGCCATGGGCCAGTTCGGGTCACTGCTTTGCTAGGCTTGGGGCCCAAATAGTTTATCCTTGCAGGGAGCTCGGGTTCTTAATAGGGAGCTCGGACTCCCAGTAGGGAGCTCGGCTCTTGGTAGGGAGCTCGGATTCCTAGTAGGGCGGTCTGCAGTTCGGGCTCAGTAATGAGCTTGGACTTGCTTTCGATGCTTGCTTCGGGCGCTCTACTGTCCCGAGCTGCTTGTTTTTGCCACATGTCGGGTGATTGCGAGGTCGGGCCAAATTCCCCTTCATCACACACCGTTTTTGCAACATTGCATTGCGAATATCTCCTCATAAAATAAAGTACATAAGTACTGAGATATTTTCAATGCAAGGCTGTAAAGTCTGCTTGAATGGGCTTTTCCCCGACGGAAGCCAAACTCGCTACGAACTCTAAGAATCAATCTTATCTGACACAAAATGAACAGACATGCCAGTTCTTAATTACTACTTCTGTCAACAAATTTTTATTAGTTGCAAATTTCCCACCTAGAATGAATACCATTACTAACATTGAGATTGTCAAGCTGAACGTTATTTCAAGAGTATGGATGAATTTCTGACATAAAATTGTTTCCAGTTTGCTGGAGGTTTTGACGCAGAGAGCATGCGAGCTTTTGAAGAACTAAGAAGCCGAGTTCATACACAAACAGGAGAGGCTGGTAAGCCAGATATATGAGATTTATTCTTCCCAATTTTGTTATCTTTTTGTTGTATATTGAATTTTGATCGCCATTGTATTGGACGGTGTAAGTTACAGCGTGTAACAACCACCGGTTGGGCAAAATAGAAGTCGCATAGATCTGATCAGAGTTCCAATTATCAGTATGTTTTGAAAGGCAATTTTAGGAGTCTTGACACACTTTGGAAATGCATGGATACAGTGCAAAAAATAAAAATATATGTACATGCTGAAAAATTCAAATAAATCCCAAATATATATTAATATGCTAAATCCCAAATATATATATATATATATATATATATATATATATATATACCTTAAAAAACAAATATGAATATTTTTTTAGGTATTACATATTACACACTAATCTCATTTAGTTATACTTGTAATCATCCAAACTTTTAAAAGTTATCTGATTAGTGATAAAGAATGCTTGTAAGTATTTTTGAAATTGTTTCAAAGATTGTGTAGTTCACTGCCCCTGCGTAAGGTCAATGCGAAGCGAACAAACTTGATATCTACCTAGAAACAAATAGCAAGATGCTTGGATGCATTAGTAGGAATACTGAGAGCTATGGATAACCATTTGGCTCAATTCCAACTTATTCCACTGTTATTTCAAATCACATATGGAATACATTAAAAGCCAAATGCAATAAAATCATATCACTTCTCTAGTTTTTCTTAACATAAGCTGCATTAGTTCACCTAAAATGCATTCATCACATGGATAAAAAAAATAATAAATAAATAATTAAACAAAATGCATTCATCACTGGAACTGGAAGGGTGATGAAACTTCAGAAATTCATACATTTTCTTGAAACCCTGGCATGGCCAAATATTTTCTACTTACGTTGATACGGGTAAATGAGTTTCCAAATGCCGAATAGAGGTAAAATTTTAAACAAAACAAGATGAACTCTTAGGGGGTGTTCTTTTTCTGGATTTTGAGAGGGGGGAAAGTTTGATTCCCATTGACCAAGAATCTCATGCTTTTTTTTTTCAGATTTATGTGGGGAGTAGGGAAAGTTTATTTTCCTGGGTATCACTTACCTGGGCAAGGGATACCCATCTCCTAGGTGAGTAAATAACTTTCCCACTTAGGGGAAAATTGCCAATACTTGAATGGGACAGAAATGCCCCTTTTAATAATGGATTTTTATGGTTAAAATGGTTATTGCCTTATTGACATGGGAAATAAAAGAGCATGGGTAAATAATTTACCGTAAAGCAAACGGGGCCTTAATAGCAACCTGTCATCTGTGTGCTCTTTTCTTATTATCTTCTTTTGTAAGAAACAAGAATTCAATAGGGTCCACACAACTATTTCATAGTAACTACAAGATTTCTGTCTGTAAACTTAGCACCTCCCACCTTCCCTTGAATTTTAGAAGGCAAACGAATGACACGCCTTTGGTCCCCTGCTTCAACCAACAATTCAGATCCTCCCCTATACTGCAACGATCACAGATCACACAGTTAACAATAAATAAGCATCAGTTCCAACTTCCAACCATCATCAGACAAGGAGCTGCTGACAGCCTAAATGCATGTAATATAGCCAGAATGGCATCATTACCAGTAATGGATTGGTCCTTTCGGAACTTTCAGATTCAATAGCAGGATGGATGTTACAAAATTCAAAACAATGTATTGAGCAATTTTCACTTAAATGCTGAATACCTGGAACAACTATCATGAATGAACAGCTGTAATGAAGCATGAATGGACAATTTACAAATGTATTGAGCAATTTTCACTTAAGAAAACAGATTTTTCAAACAATATCATGAATGAACAGCTGTAATGAAGCATTGACAGAGCCACTGGAAATACCTGGAACAACTTAATTTCCGATTTATCAAAACCTGGCATGAAAAGTGTCACTGACTTTTTTGTTGGATCAAATTTAACTGATGGTTGAAACCAATTGCCACTGCTGATGCTGCTGCCTGATGCCACAGAAAGGAGATTCTTTGCATCTTCGTTCAGAACTTTGAGCACCTCATCCCAATCTACAGAACCTATAGAAAGAAAAGGCATGAATGCAAAAGGCATGGGTGAGAAGTTCTTCTCAAGCATGTCCACTAATCCTGCAGAAGATTGTGAAGGAGTGAAACAAAATGCTCCAGAAATCTGTGCACCAGCTTGGATTGCACAACCCCAATAATGTAATGCAGCATTGACTGATAGTGGACAACTTGGGTTCATTGTGAGGAAGCAGCCAAACTTTGATGGTTCGGTAAATGAAACAGATGCTCTCTGCAGTCCACATCACCAAGAAAGAGGCTTTTTGAGAAGATAGTTTCCTTTAAAAACCAACAAACTGACATTGTTCCTTTAGAAATAAGTAAGAGATATACAACCAAGCCGGACCTCTAGAATCAATTCAAAATCCTCCCATATCTCTGCACTCATTCTCCCATCAAAACGCATCCTACCACCACTTAACTTCATGGCTTCCTCTGCTAGTCTCAAGATTGAAGGTGTTATTAATCTCCCAACATCGGTGTTCTCAGCAATGTTCCTCAGGTATTTCAAATACCACCTGTTCAAAGGCATATATACCTGAGTCCAGATGGAGATCCCTAAGGAAGATTAGAAAGGAGTGTTGGTAGAAGAAATTCCCTAACCTTGCTCTGTCAGTCGCACCTATCATCCGTAGCATCTCCTCAGTGCTGATGCCATCATATATAATTATGTCAAATTTTTCTTCTGGTTGCTTTCTTGGAGATGCAGTCCTGAGGAATTCAACCAATTTGTCAACTGCCAAAGCTGAAAAAATGGAATCCATTCCAGGTAGAACTCCAAGCTCTTCACCCACAATCTAGCACATCATAAACTAGATGCGTTAAGGACAATACTCTATCAGAAAAAAGTCAGCCTTAGGTAGCTCTTTATAAGGCATGATGCCTAATAGCAGAAGGGAATTATTACATACCTACCCCTTCGAGAACCCCCTGGGTTAAATTAAGACGTGCATCTGCTTGCTTCAGACGGTTAAGAGGTTCAAGAAGCATCTGCAGTTATTTGAAAATTATTCCCTATTCAATCCACCATTTGAAAAATAATGGCAGTATCAGATAGAAGACAAACGAAGATAAGAACAAAACTTACTTTAGTGGTTTCTAATCTAATGGCTGAAAGGTTGTTATTGCAAGTAGTAGGAGAAGTTCCAATCTTACAGCCCAAAAGATGTTCTGCAGTAGGGTCCTGAGAATGTATTACCAAACATGTCTTGAGCCCAGCGTTCGCGTAGTACTGAACATCAGAAGAAGGAAACAATTATTATCCACTTTCCTAGAAAGGAAAATCCATCCCAGATTATCCAACAGAAAGTCATCACTGCAGCTAAGGAATTGGTTAAAAAGTAGTAGAGATTCCCAACATTGAAACTGATCAAACAACTAAAGTGCTGCATTCAAGAAAATCAAATAAAGAGAGCTCAAAATGTAGCTTGATAAAATCTTGAATATAAATATAACTCTCACAATTCAAGCAAAAGTAAGTGAACCAGATCGAATTATCAAGAATACGAAGCTCAAAGACGCCCTAGTTGACCAGCTTTAAATTTCCAATGAAGATGAGGAGAAGTACCTGAGCGGCAAGAACAGAAGAGGCAGTCTTGCCAGAACCTCCTTTACCTAAGAAAGTGACCAATTTAGTGGATCTCTGAGAAGGATCCTCCTCCGGCTTAGCCGCCATTATTAAGGTTCGAGCATTTCTGTGGAATCTCACATGAGTCTGGACAAGGGAACTACAATTAGGGTTTCGTTGAATCAGCGACGATGAGAGGAGAATTGGAGAAGCAACAGATGCCATTTCGCGGTTCCGTTCACAATTTCGCCGGTGTTTTTAACCGTGCGCGTTGGTAACTAGAGAAGTTCCATTGCTACGAGCCATGAAAGCAGAGCTCCTAGTCCTAGACCGTAGGTCCGTAGCACAAGCATTACCCGTATTAAAACCCGGCGCTGAGGTTAAACCGCTTTTCCCTCCAGTTCCGGTCAATGTCTCGGCGGTTTAACCATTTAGATTGATGGAATAACGCAATATTATCAATATGAAAAATTCGAGAGAATAATAAATAGGTTCGCCTACGATATGGAAAAAATATGATATCTGAAAAATTTCTGATCAATCAATTGGAATAGTGAACGTGTTAGCCAATCAGGTGTAAACCTTTTTCATTTTCTTAATAAGATCAGGAAGCAAGAACCTAACGAAGCAACGCCCTACACCATAAGTCCATTGTACATATGTAGGATTAGGCCAAAGGAAAATTGTCTATTAAAATCTAAAGAGTTTGGATTAGCTAGGGGTGGCAATTTTTCACCCAACCCGCTGAACCCGCCTAACTCACCCAGAATCTAACCCGCCCATTTACTTGGCGGGTTGTGTGATCAACCCATCACCCAACCCAACCCATTTGGATAACCGTTGGGTTAACCATTACAAACATAAGTATTAATTTCCTAGCCTTTTTTTATTTTCTTCGTTTAAATTAAATAATTTATAAATAATGCATTAATTTTCTATTAATTGTTGACTAAATTTAGTTTTGTCTTGAATCAACACACTTTACCTAACATAAATCCAAATCAATTTCACCCAAGTCCGGATCAGTTCAATGCACCCGATCCAACATATATCGATTGGGGTCAACTCGAATTTGAAATAGACCTCAAATGGGATGGCACAATATCGCTTGCTTTGCCTAGTTTGGATCGTCCGATCCAACCATTATTCACACAGCTCGGCCTGACCCGACACAAGCTGATCCGGTTCGACCCAAATCCAAAGTAGGTCGAATCGGGTGAAGTCCAGATCCTAAACCACCCCACTTGCTTTGCCCGGTTCGGATCATTGGTTCGGCGTGTATCCATACAACCCAAATCGAATCCGACACGGGTCAACAATGCTAGATGACCTAGATCCTTTGGAGCCCCTGACCTGGGCCCGACACGAATCCGGCTCGGTCCGGTCCGGCCGAAGTGAACCGATCCAGCGGGGTCTGACACGATCGAGCTGAACCGGCCTGATCTGGTGTGGTCCAAATCGGTTCAGCCGGGACCTAGTCTAGATCTAAACGGTTCAATCACTCTTGATGTGATTAGTTCAAAGACAATCCAATTAGATAGTTCAAGTTGGTCTGATCGGTTTGAACCTAAGTGGTTTGTCAAATCCAAAGCCTAAACATAGTTAAATGGCTTTGCTGCTTGTGTAAAAATAATGCATGATGGAGGAAGATTTGGCCCAACCCCTTGGCCACGCGACACGTGGAAGCAACCGAGAGTGACCTGGCAGAAGCGCCAGCTCGGCACGGCAGCGGGCCCACAACCCGAGCTCCGAGAAAGGGAGTCCCGAGCTCCCCCAAGAAAGGAACCAACGACCCGAGCTCCTCAAGGAAGAACTCGATCTCTCCCTTGGAGGTCCTGAGCCTTACAAGGAGCGCAAAGGGCATAAACCCGAGCTGACCCACCCCAGGGCAGTTCGGGCCACACTTCACCTCGCACACCACTTCGGCTCTAAGTTGCCTGACTGAACAACCGTACCTGACGCCCAGGAAGCCCATACATGGAGGCGACGTGCCTGACTGATTAGAGGTCCGACACATGACAACCGCCCTCCAACGGCCACCTGCCACCGCCATCTCAGACGTAGCAGAGACGGCCCTAACAAGGACAGTGACAGTTATGACACCCGAACTAGCGACTGGCAGAGGCTATGACACCCGAACTGGCATCCGACAGAAATGATGACACTCGATCCGGCGGAGGTGATGATGCCTGATCTGGCAGAGGTATGGGAGTGAGTGTACAGGGCGATTATAAAAGGCCCCCATCTCCCAAAGAAGGAGGTATGTGATTCTTGCGCTTTCTGGTCTTAAAGTTCCTCATTTTCCTTGCCTTCTGAAGAGCACTAACTTGAGCTTTGGAGTGTTCCAACCGGGTTCCTCCCCAGAAGTCCCCATTTTCCTCCTTGTTTCAAGCACCTCCAGTTTCGTCAGAGGCGAGGTCACCGGCAGCTAGGACCGATCGGATTGTGCACCATCATTTGGCGCCGTTTGTGGGAAGACTTCAAAAAGCCTCCCCTAACCTTTAACTTTCTCTCTCTCTCTCTCTCTTTCTCTCTCTCTCAAAGAAACCTTAGCTTCCATGGCTTCATCCAGCAGCAACAGGCACAACGCCGACTTGAATGTTGTAGGGGAACACCCTCAGCCCGCCACTGTATGTATCGGACAATTCACCGTCCCCCTCTCGACGGACGGAATCCCTAGCCCCAATGCACCAAGCATGGCGGCACCTGTGAATGTTCCCCTTCCCCTCCCTATCGAGACAACCTTCGCCGAATCGGCCGCTGTCCCTCTAGCGACTGGCCAGAACCAACTTGATGACTTGATGCAGTGCATGCGGGCAATGCAAGCCCAGATGCAGCAGTTCCAGCAGCATCAGCTTCATCAGCAGCAAGTACTACACCACATTTCTCAGTGTCACTACCAGCAGCAGTTCCCCCAACTGCCTCTGAATCAACCGCATCTCCCACCTCGGCACCCTGCTGCCAAGCCGGTCAAGTCCTCCCCTCAAGGGGGGCGCCTTCACCGGGGGGAAGCTTCCCAACTCCAACACCCCTCCAGGAGCCAGGCCTCATCCCCGGGCAGGAGGGAAAGATCGATTACCCTTGCCTCGCAGCTCACCGACGGATCAGGTACTTCCTTGCTGACCAAGTCAGCACCTCGGCACTCCAAGTTCGAGCTCCCACTCGCAGAGAACCAATTCGGCGTCTTGCCCGGGAACTACTAGTAGTCCGAACCCATCGAGCTCGACAACACCGAGGCAAGCAACGCCAATACCAGGCCTTCTAAGAAGCAGCGAAGATGCCGGCGAGGTCGCCGAACTACCACCCGCGTCCTGCTCGAGCTCCGAGGAAAAGAAGAAACAAGCTCGGATGAGGTGAAAGTTGCCCCTGCTCTTTTACTCCCTTCCCCCTTGTCATTGGAACTCTTTGCGG